TTAGATTACTATTACAATATTGTAAATGCAATTTCTGTATGCTGCTGCGTTGCGCACAAAAGGTAAATTTTTATTTTCTGTACTGTTTATTTCTACTGTTTTTCGTTGTACATATTAAAGTATCATTCTTTTGTATTTTATTGGAAGTTACTGCATTTTTGCGCAATTCTGTTAAATTCAAAGTTTAATTTTTAATATTTCTTGTTAAATTATCTCACTTGTATTCGTATTCAATAGAATAATATTCATTTAATATTGGTGTTGAATGCATATTTACGGATCCTACTATGGTTTGGATTGAGTTCACTTTTCATTGGCTCTCAGCGTCACGTGACTTCGCTTGTTTCTGAATGATGTCATAGGAGCGCGCTTAGTTTAGATTTAGATTTTTGTCTTAGCTATATTGCATCATGGAGAAACCAAAATTACCTTTTTAATTAAGATTATTTGGATAATTATAAAGTTCAGTTGAATATAAAAAAGTTGAACTTGCCTGCATTACTGTTCATATAAAACCGGGTATACTATAAACATAAACTTGGGCTAAAGCGCTTTGGCGTCATTTAGAAACAAGCGAAGACACGTGACGCTGAGAGCCAGTGAAAAGCGACCTCCATCCAAACCATAGTAGGATCCGTAAATATGCGCGTAGAATACCTTATTGTTGTATTTGCATTCAACAGAATATTATTTATTTAATACTGGTGTATAGGATGCCTTATTAACCTTCTCTTTTAGAAAGCATTAAAATGCAAGTGAGTAGTGGATTTTATGCCAAAATTTATCTGTTTCTAAGTGCCTGATTTTCCTTGTTTTACAAATAAAAGTATAAACGTTCTTGTATGATAGAATTTACTACCCATTTAATAACAAAAATATAGAATATCATAATTTTCAACGCTTCTCTAATAGTTGACGTTTGCGCAATTAATGTATTTTTAATATGCTCTCCAGTTGAATCAAAAATAAAATTTCAGTATATGAAGGCGATTTTGTATTAATTCTTATTAAGGAAAATAAATCCCTCATTTAATAAAATAACCATTGGTATTATTATTTTTATAAATAAATAGGCTTTTTATAATTAATTAAAGAAATTTTATAAGTAATTTTACTGTGTTTGTATTGCTCATTACGTAGAACAAGCAGCAAATTAAATCGCTAATTTTTCGCCCATGAAGTTTTGACGATAAAAAAATGTATTTGCATATATTGCTCCACCGTACTTTTGATAATTCAAAACAACACTTCCATAATCATTTTAATTAAGATATTTGAGAAAACCAAACTCTTTAGAAATTGATCAATTCTTGTTTTAATTAGATTTTTCATTTAACAAACGATTTAATTTGTGCTAACGTTTAAAATAAGTAGAGAAAATTTGTGACATTCATTTAATGAAGAGTATTTGCGTACTAAGTTATATTAGTCAAAGATTAATTTTACTGCTTCAATAAACTAATTAGATCTTTCTATTTAGGTCGAGGTTAAATTGAAAAATTTCTTATGTTCCGAGACGTTAATTTTTTCATCTCTTATATTCGTTAATTACTTTTTGATGAACATTCTCCCAAAAAATATGAGTGACTTTATCTCTCTAAGGAATTTTTACAACTATATAGAACAGGACAAAAATGAATATATTAAATCATTATTTTACGCTGTTACTGAACATTCTTTTTCTTAAAGTTTGCTGCATTTTCCTGAGAGTAATAAAAATGCAGATTTAATTTAAATGCAAATAAGAAACAAATGTTATTTGTTATGCGAATGGAAAAAGGATTTTTTTACTTCCAATTTATTTTTCGTTCCCATTCAAATTATAAATAGAACAAGATTCTCATTTGTTACTCTTTCCAACACACAGAAATTCTATACACTAATGCAACTCAAAAGTGATTAGAGGATTAAATATAAAATAATATAGACTAGAAAAATGTATGACAAAACATTGATTTTTGTTTTAATTTTTCAAAAAAATAAACTTTCTCTTTTAAAACAATATTTAAAAATAATTGCAAGATATTTGAAGACAGCTTATCTTACAAGATAAATAAATGAATATTTAAAAATTTTTTTTCTTATCAATTTAATTAAATGCATTTTACAAAAAAATTGCAATTGCATAATATTTAAATTTGCACAGACTGCACGTTAAACTAAGTCTAACGTACATTATTAACCCCTTAAGAGTCGAATTTATTGCTATCTAATAAAATGACCCCCTCCTGTTTCAGAAGGGGGATGCGATTTCATTCATCTAAGAAGGCATAGAATACTTCAGATGATTATGGATTCTAATCAATTTTTGTGCCAAATTATAAAGCTTATTAATGATTAAATTTTAGTTTATAAGCCTAAAAATTTATTATTATTATTATTATTTTGTCTAGACGAAATTAATGAAAGAATTGAAGTGAAGAAATTTTATTAAATAATTTTAGCAATAAGAATTAAAACTTATAAACAAAATCATTATCTAAATTAATTTCATATAAACGGACTAAATATTAAAATGCATTGCTGAATTTAAAAGGAATTTATAAATATTCATTTAACAGACCTCAGAATCTTCTTTCCTCTTCCACCCTTTTCTCATCACTATGGCAAACAGAATGAGATAGTTCTTTGTTTGAGTTTGAATTATACAAACAACTGCAATCGTAAAATATTCAATTGAGAAATAGTAAGGAGATCAGTGTTTACTTAGGGAAAGTACATCATTTGCTGTTTACCGGGAATTCTCTTACTCTAACTGATGTCAATAAATGAGTATAAATAGTGTCATTTAATATTCGTGTGCAGATCTGGCACTCCATAGAGAGCAAGAACTTCACTGCAAATTTCGACATGTAAGAGGCCAAATTCATTCTTTTCCTTTTGAACGTATATGGTTTGAATAGTAAAATATAAACAAATAGTAATAAAAAACACTAAGAAATATTTAAGTCGAGGAATAGGGAACTTCAGCATTTTTTAAAAAACCGAGAAAACAATCCGTATTTATAGAAAAAAAAATCTAAGTTCAAATGTACAAGTAAAATTTTGCGCAAAAATTTATTTATTTAAATATTGAGAACGAAAAATGCACTAAAATCGCAGAAACGATGATGCAATCCGAAAGACACTCTCATTGGCCGACTAGATTTTTGACGTCACATGTGTCCGTTCAGGATACAATTTTTATGCAGGACGGAGCACCTTCCAATATGCGTCGTAGCTTTAAATAGGTGTTACGGCAAACTTTCACAGACGAACTGGTGAGCAGACGTGGTTTTCCAACAGCTTCGACTCCTCGCTCGCCTGCGCACACCCCGTGCGAGGTCTTGTTAACTCTATGAGCACTAACCCGCCTCAAACCGCCCCATTCGACAGAGACCGGACTCAGGCAGTTTCGGGCGACTGGGTGAATTTTAAGGGAGAAGAGTAGTTCCTTTCTTTGTTGACAATTGATTGCCCAACCTTGGGTGTCGTCCTGCTGGAATTTCTGTAAAGAAAGGGAGGATTCCATTCGGTTTTCGTGAGCGAAAATTTACTTCAGTTTTTGAGGTACTGGAATTCTCACTCTAGCCGGGTTCAAAGAGTTAAGGGGATTCATAAAGGACCAGGTCTATCGAGAACAACCCGTAACATTGTCACACCTGAAAGACAGCATTATTCGACATGCTCGTGGAATCAATGAGGATTTATTGCGTTCCGCTGTAGAACATACTATTTTGAGAATGGAAAGGGTAGTGAAGGACCACGGGACTGATCTACATAATTTTTATAACGTTTTGTAGAGCTGCAGCGCCACCTATCGGAGTCTTCTTGTGCTAATTTTATTTCAATAAATCTCGAGCGAATGATCTGTAGTGTCTGTCGTCCAAATTTCGTGTCAGCATGACCCATACAAAGCCCTCTAAGGCCCTCCGAGTTGGGGAAGTTTAATTTCGACAACCCTATATATATTAAAACCATTAAAGTTCCCGTTCTTAAAAAAACTCGATTATAAGTTTTTTGCATAATATTGCGTGGGCTCTAAATTGCGGAAATAGTTTTCGATTGGCACTATTAAACTTCCGTTCTATCATTTCTGTAGATGATAAAGAAAGTGAGAGAAAACAAGTTTGTATCATTTAAAAAAAACGCTGTTAACAAAATTAAATGAAAAAGAAAGCGAAATATAATAAATATAGAATTAATTACTAATACTATAATTAATATATAATATTAATTGACAAAAGAGCTAAATATTACACCTGTTATCGTTGAGCCCCTTGAAAGTTTAACTGATTCAGCAGCGTAAATATTATTTTAATCAATCATATCATAAATAGTAAAATGAACACAGTTACCCATAAATTCGATCTACATTTCAGTGAAATTAATTTATAATGTTAATAAAATCTTCTTTTAAATACGAGATACTAGAATGATCACTTGAATTCAACAATAAAACATTCACGTGATTAAATTAATATCATGTTTATCTTCATCTTTCTTCCAGGCAACAAAACTTATGCTATAAATTTTACTGAAAATTATTTCTCAACCAAAGTTGAAGGCTCATTACATATGCAATACTTCATATTTTAATGTAGAAATGGGGGCAAAATAATATGAATACTGTGAAAAAAGGATAAAAACTTCATCAACAGGGGAATGAACAACGTTTGACTGAAGACATATTGTATATGAAATGGGACAGATGCTTAGAGGTCACGCTATAGTAAAGGGATTACAAAGACCTTCATCAGGGAGAAGGAATCAATGCGAATTGCAAGCAGGAAGTTTTTACTCTGAAAGTCGCCTCGAATATGAATGCGATGTTAATGAGAGAGTCAAAGGAGTGGATAAAATTAATTGATATGTTCAATGAACATTGTTTAAATTCTAAGTGTTGGCATCACCCATGGATACGAGCGTTGGAATATGGAAAAGGCTGTCGCTGTGCAGAAGGGAACACCACTTCATGTCCTTGCGACTATAACCATTTGGCTATTTAAAAAAGATGCCAATAGCACGCGATGTTCCCAGCTGGTCACCTTCCCAAGTACCTGATCGTGCCCGATGCTACTTATTTGTGGTGATCAGACGAGAACCGGTGCTTTCAGCATGGGATGGTCGTTGCCTGTCGCTGTGTTGGTAACAAAGACTAGACATGATCTTACAAGAGTGATATGTTTTCGTATTCCAAAGCTGGATAATTTGTATGCTTAAAGCATGTCAATAGCATCACTGTTGGTAAGAGATAGCCAGGAGTGATAACATTTCTGGGAGTTCTGCAGACATAGAAATGTTGGACGTTATGAAAATTGGTGGAGGTGATGGTATCTTTCCTTTTATGATTAAGAGGTGGCAAACTTCTCTGTCAGGAGAAAAGGCAATATTTGCAGGTGTGGAATGAAGCCTATTTTGTCGCTGGTGTTCTTATTGTTTAGGGCCCCATCTCTGCTAAGAACAAGAGAATGTGTGTCTGTCTGCGGGTGTATCTGTTGGCGCTCTACAGGACAGATTGAAAGGATGGCAAAACCTGGACGAAAAGAGAAAATGCCCTCTTTCAGATAAAAATGATAAATATTCGGACAACGGAATTTTTTCCTCTGGGTATACCATAAATAGCAGTTCTATACAACCTCTCCATCAACAATCCCAGATAGCACGTAAGTTTGCAGCAAGTTTGATTTTGACTTGATACTGCCTTGTCATAGCAAATTTGACGCGTCAAACTTGAAACGAACTTGTGGCAAGTGCGCCGTGACAACTAGCGCCACCCTCGCTTGCAAAACGCGTTTGCCACAAGTTCGCCGTGACAAATAACGCCACCTCCTTTGCATTGTAAGCTTGCTGTAAGTTTGCAAAACAAGCTTGATACAAAGATAGCACAAAGAGATAATTATCTTTGTCTCTGTTTAAAAAAACATCCAATTTTTAAATGCATCTCCTAGACCGTCCATCTTTTTATTAATTCAATAAATCAATGATAATTTGTAAAAAACTAACTTTTTTTATAAAAAAAATTTTGAAACATTTTCCATCTTTTTACTAAATACAGAACTCGCGCTTTAAAGAAAACTATATCGCGTTTTTCTGAATGTTGAAATTTTAACGTTTATGATCAAAATTAAACCGAAAAAACAGTCAATGTTTGTTGAAAAATAAACTTATACATTTTGTCCCATTTTAAAGTAATTACTTTTGAACTCTAATTTCATACTAGCAAAACGTAGTTATTAGCGAAAATAGTTCTCTCTTTGACTTCAAATATATTCTCAACTCAAAAAATTAATGAAATCAAGAAAACAATTTAAAATAAATCGTATATGAATCGAATTGAACGATGTATTAGCGAAATGTATCTTCTCCTCTCAGAGTTTAGCTGGCCGAGTGGTTAGCGCGTCAGCTTCCGAATCGGTAGGTCGCGAGTTCTAATCCGGGTTGTGTTCGTACTCTGTTTTTGCTATAGTTTGCAATGAGTTTGACGCGGCAAGCTTGCTGCAAGTTCGTCCCATGGTGACTTCGAAGCTTGCGTTAACTTGTTTCAAACTTGTTGCAAGCTTGCACTCTTGTCATGTCAAGCTTGTTTCAAGCTTGCACTCATGTCATGTCAAATTTGTTGCAAGCGTGCTGCAAACTAAAATTGCTATCTGGGATACAGGGCCATTGAGAACGTATTGCTGATGCTTATGACAATGTGACGTGTGTTAAAAAGTGTGCATCGTGAAATTCAAACAGAAGTGCAAATGTGTATTATAGCTGACGGAGAGGCAATGAAGGCATTTTTTGATAAATAATTGCTTTATTTTTCTAATACGTTTCGTCATGTAACAATGTTAGAAATCCGAAAAAATGAATGAAGTTTTATGCCTTGTGCTCTTAGCATTAATGTCCACAAGCTTCGATGACAAGCTTAGATGAAGTCGATGATATTCTATAACTTTGTAATTGAGTTTCTTCCCCGACATCTCTCCGTTTTCGAGACAGTAACGCTAAATCCGCAGTGTTCTTTCAGGTGGTGCTGTAAGTAGACTCGTGGCGTAGCCCATAGTCACCACACCTAGAAACCTATTTACTATAACTGCAGTCGTTCAAAAATTAAGTATATACGTATGGAGGAGTAAGACAATTTAGTGGGCATTCTTTATAAATAGCAAGTTTTAATTTCCAATATGATTGTCAGGCATATTTATTTTTCTTTTCAAATAATCTAGAAAGTAAAGGAAGTAAAATGATTAAAAAATGCTTAGTATTTATTTACTGAGTACATAATTTAATGTTACGCAATAATGTTTTTAAAAAATAATTAGTGTAATACTACATAATAATACAACTACAAGAATTTATTTAAAAACACCAATAAGCCAGTTCAAAAAAATTATTATTATTTTAATCCCTATAATTATGTCCTTTTCGTGTTCTTTCATCTATTACAGCATTTTAAGACTCTCACTTACATGATTCTTGTATTATTTATCTTCAGTTAGCTTTCCACTATTGCAGAGAATGATAATCGGAAGCTTTATGCTTGTAAATAACTTTCTATTCACATATTACAACATGGTAACACATACAAATAAGTACCTAAAATATCTTTTTTTTTCTTTCATTTTTGTTACGGAGAAACTTCTGAGAAACTTGAGATATTTACTTAGCGAAATCAGTTTCTCGCTTGAATTAACTGTTTATATCGCGTAAGATAAAACTTTCTTCCCTCGAAGTTCTGATAACTATATTTTATCTTGAAATCCAATATATCTTGCGTTAGTGGATTAAGAAAATTCGTTTTATATGTTTTCAGAAATACGTTACAGAAGACATTCCCCTAGGCTTATTGCTTTTTCACTGTCAAAAATATAAAGCTTAATACAGTAAACTTGACTAATTTTTTGGTATTAAAGATTAACGTTTCTTAAAATAAAAACATAATTTCTTCGTAAGTCATTAGAGTAACTTTTTGAAAGCATTCATTTAATAGATTAATGAATATTTTCTATTCCATGATCTGTATTTTATTTATTTACACTTTCATTTGCTTTATTATAAAAAAGATAATAATTACAAATGTGTTCATTTCATGAATATTGCATTCAAATAATTTCTTCAAAATTTATTATATTTATTGATATTATTAAATTATGCAAGTGCATAAGTAAAACAATTTTATTCATGTAGCAGTTGAAATAAAATTTTATGTTTTATTATAGAAGCTACAAGCTTCTTCCTGCACTTAAATCAACTGTACAGAGAAAAATACAACTCTTCAGAAGAACGATAGTAAATTACTTTTTTAAGTCAAATATCGAAGTACGTCGAATAATAATTGATTAAATCGATATAATTATTAACACTAGAAAGACGTCAGCTGTCATTTTGACCGCAAATGAATTTCAAACACTCGTATTTCATTTCTTTTTCCTTCAATTTCTTACTCGTCCATTGAATGTTCCTGATTATTCATAAAGAACGTGTAAAACAAAAATTATCTATTTTCGCTCGTTATTATCGGCGCTACAAATGTCTATACCTTGGAAGACTGACTGCGGTCACTTTGAGAACTAAACAAACATCACATGCTATGATGTTTTTTACTATATTTTTTTGTTTGGTTTACTCTCATATCTTTTCTAATGTTTTAGTGTTTTGTTTTCAGACGATTTTTGTTCTGACGAGAAGGAATATAAATGAGGGGGGGGGGGTTAAATTATAATTCTCAGCAATTCTTTTTGCTCTCGAAGCGTCTGCTTTGTTGAAATGGCAGATATTAATTTCTTCGGACCTTCTTTGCCTGTTCGGTCATATATTTTCTCTCACGATGTCACGAGGAACCATTTGTAAAAGATTTTTGTCGGAAAAAGAAATTTTACAAACGTTTCATAATTTATAAGAAACCGATTCTTCTGATGAAAAATCTGATTAATCACAATATGCATATATTCCTGGCAATGAAAGTGAACCAATTTCATCGGAAGAATGTTTTACAGAAATATCACAAAGCGATTTATCCTCTGAATTTGAAAATAAAGAAAATTCACCTATAAATATCGATTCACAACACGCAAGAACGGCTTGAACTATATTCAAGCAATGTTCTCAAGCGCGATAATATTACTCTGACGGAATACCAAGGCATGAAAATAAAAACTCTTCTGCTGCTAAGTACTCGAAGCGCACTCATCCTGCACTCGAAGTTGAATGCATTGAAAATAAGACTCTTGAGGTTATTAAATTTTATAATTCGACTAAATACTGCGCTGATGTACTTGATCAGAAGGGAAGAAAGTATTCAACTAAATCCGTTCCCTGACGATGGCTAGTAAAAGATTTTTTTTCAATATCCTCGATTTAGATGCTATCAATACCTCGGTAATTTACCAGGAAGTTGTTGGTACAAAAATCAAACTTCGTGATTATATTTTAAATTTAGCTGATTGAGCTGCGAAACAATTATGTTTCCCCTAAGACGTCTACGCTTTCCGATTTCACTCCAGGTACAAATGATGGACTCACTTCCTCAAGCCAGAAGCGCAAGCAATTTCAAATCAATAGATGCCGTAATAAAACTTTGAACATGTGTTGCGATTCCAAAAAGTCAGTTTGCGGCTCTTGTACAAATAAAATGATAAAGCTGAGTGTTTGTAGAAACTGTAAGAAACAGTAATGTAAGTAAATCAATTTGTAATATTTTTAAATGTATGTATTTTTAAAGTTATCAAATGTGATATAATTTAAAATATTTTGTGTAATTGGAAGAAAATTCCTATTTATAATGTGCGTTTTTGATAAAAAGGCATTTTATTAATTTTGATTACATATATATTGCATTTTCTCTAAAGAATATTATAAAACAAAGAAAAGTGATAAACAGGAATTTAATGTGAAGAAAATGTAAAATTTAATAACAAAATGTATGAAAAAACTTGTTTCAGCAAACAAATCTTGAAAAGAGTGTTGTTTTCGGTCATTAAAATATAGCGGTCAAAATGACCGCTCCTAGTTTTTCTAGGTATACGTAAATCGCCGTCTTCCTAGTGTTAAATACCTTTAATGCCATTTACACAAAACATCTTTGTACACAGAAAGATGTTTACGAAAAACAAGGTATTTGTTTCTTAAATTTTCATTGCAAGG